GGTGTTTGTAAATAGGATCACAAGTCTGCATCTTGTACAGCAATTATCCACTAAGAAGAATATATGCAGTGTATTATTTGTTGAAACTATACTTTCGATTTGATTTGAAACTGTCTCATTGCTATATGTTTATCAATAAAACTTTGAAAAGAAAAAAAAGAGATACAGAGAGGGCCGGGGAGATAGCTCAGTAGACTAAGTGCTTCCCTGGCAAGCGCAAGGGCCTGAGTTCAATCCCCGGTTCCCCCCCCCCAAAAAAAAATACAGAGGAAATTATAGTCTCAATCACAAGCTTGCAAAATCATTTAAGTGAATGTGAAGACAGAGTTTCGGATCTTGAAGACGCTGGTGCAGCCAGTGAAAAGGTAAGAAAAGATCTCTTAAAAACAACTAGGATGCAGGAAAAATAATTCATCACTTGCAAGTCAATGCAAAGATGAACAATGTGAGACTAATAGGCATCAGTGAGAAAGAAGGAGTCAATACAAAGGACTTTAAAAAAAAAATGGGCAAAAATAATAGCAGAAAACTTCCCAAATATGAGGAAACACTCTTACATTCAGGTAACTGAAGCATACAGAACACCAAGGAACCTCAACCCAATTAAAAACACACCAAGGCATATAATAGACAAGGTCCCAGAAATTCAGCACAAGAACAATCTACTGAAAGCCACTAGAGAAAAGAAGCAGATCACATTCAAAGGAAAACCCATCAGAATTACAGCCGACTTCTCTTCACAAACCATGAACGCAAGAAGAGCATGGAGCAGAGTATTTCAAGTCCTCTATGAAAACAAATTCCAGCCAAAACTACTATACTCTGCAAAACTCTCTTTCAAGTTTGATGGAGAAGTGAATCACTTCCATGACAAAGAACAACTAAAGAATTTCATGATGACTAAGCCAACCCTACACAGGCTCCTGAAAGATGTTCTAGAGAGGGACCAAAATGATCAGAACTCCATGAATTAGATCAGAAGCAACCAACTAAATAGGGCAAGCAAATAAACACAGGAGAAAAAAGTAATAAACCACAACAGCTAAATAACTTTTCATTTGTAACCCAATACATCTCAATTCTAACCATCAATGTAAATGGACTCAATTCACCAATTAAGGGAAATAGATTAGCACAGTGGATTAGAAAGCAAAATCCAACAATATGCTGTATACAAGAAACACATTTAGATAGGCGGCGCGGGAGGACCGGGCGCGGCGGGGGACACGGCGTCTGCAGGGGTGCTCCACCAGGCAACGGCGGTGATGGTGGAGGCATGATTTCCCATTACTGCAGAGAAAATAGGGTGTAATCCCAGAAACTTTCCCCATCACCACTTGTTGAAAATCTGATTTGAAAGCTGTCCGAGTGTGAACAACAGAAAGTGCGGAGATTTGATGCCTGCCTCGTTTTGCGCTGGAGACCCTTCACTACTAATTATCAAGGAAAAAAAAACCCGAAAACCAAAAAACAATCTGGAAGCTAATCTGGTAAACATTTAAACTTAAAAGTTACGAACCTTGCTCGAATTCAGAATGTAACAATTTGTAGTAACAGCACCACCCCCTTGAAACTGCTCTGTACGTGACTCCCCTGGATCGAGTCACTGAGTTTGGAGGTGAGCTTCAAGAAGATGGAGGAAAACTCTTCTGCACTTCTTGCAATGTGGTTCTGAATCAAGTTCGCAAGTCTGCCATTAGTGACCACCTCAAGTCAAAGACTCATACCAAGAGGAAGGCAGAATTTGAAGAGCAGAATGTGAGAAAGAAGCAGAGGCCCCTAACTGCATCTCTTCAGTGCAACAGCACTGTGCAAACAGAAAAAGTCAGTGTTATCCAGGACTTCGTGAAAATGTGCCTGGAAGCCAACATCCCCCTGGAGAAGGCTGATCACCCAGCAGTCCGCGCTTTCCTGACTCACCACGTGAAGAACGGAGGCTCCATGCCTAAGTCAGACCAGCTGAGAAGAGCTTACCTGCCTGACGGGTACGAGAATGAGAATCAGCTCCTCAACTCCCAGGACTGCTGCCCAGGAGGTTACACCGTGTGATCAAGATAAACAATGTGGAACGTTAAAGTTATGTGTTGATTGTGTGGTTCATTTTTATATTTATTTCATTTAAAATCATGTGATGGCAGAGTAGTTTTGCATTATGTATATAGTTGCAGGCAAAAAAAGGCTTCACTGCAGAACTTGCTAATTTTAGTCACCAGTGGTTTAAGTAAAACTTAGGGATAGAATGTGCTAGGGTACCTGAAACCTGATGGTTATCTTTAAAATTGATGGGTTTCTCCTGGAATGTTTCTGTTTTAACCCGTTGTGAGACTATTTAATTATCTGGATTGAAGACCAGTGTGGAAAACTGAAGCTGCTAACAGGCACCACCACCCAGAGTAAGGAACTTAATGGAATTATTCTGTTTAGAGGATCCTCTTCAAAATGGAAGAGGAGGGCCAAGGGGACAGCTCAGCAGCATGAGTGCCTGCCTGGCATAAGCAAGGTCCTGAGTTCGATCCCTGGTACTGCAAAAAAGAAAAAAAGGAAGAGGTGATGGGAAACTTATTATATAGCAGAAATGACTTTTTTCAAAATATGTTTCACTTGTGTTTGAAATAGTTAACCTAACCTTCAGTGCCTCACTGCCTTTTTTAAAAAAAAGTCTTTCTGTTTTATTTAGTAGCAGCTTCAAGTAACCAACAGACTAAAATCTTTTAATGATACTGCCAAAATCCACAGGGAATTTTGCAGTGACAAAATATGTTTCTTGTTATGTATACTGTTTTGAAACATTGCTTTTGTTTTAAGCATTTTCTTGAATATGCAGTTTTTTAAATGTCTTTGTGTCACTTCAGACAAGTTAAACAGTCATTTTCTGGTTGAGTTTCCTCTTTTTGTAGAGAATTTTTGTCTGACAGGTCAACGAAGTTTCTTTTGATACGTTAATTTTTCTGTGAGATTATAAGGGCAGAAACTGATTTTCTTTCACTTTTTTCTGCTTTGTTTCTGGCAGGACTTACAGAGGAGATCTGGCAGTACACAGAAGAGTTGTTTGGCTGAGAAAATAATTCTGTTAAAGGTCAGCCATGTTCAGAAAATTATCTGAACCCGTGCACCCTGTAATGTTATCAAAGTAGGTTAGAACGGTTGGGTCCTCTCTGTAAGAAACCTAGGATATATTTGAGAAATTTAACAGCTAAAAACTTGGATAAGATCTTTATTTTTAAAAATACTGAATTATTTGAAAACATTGAAGTAAAGATAGTTAAATTTCTGTTACAGAGAGTGATAAGTGATGACTTTAAGGTTATTTTAACACAAATCTTTAAAAACCAAAGTAAAAAAAAAAAAAATGCAATTCATACAACTTTCCTTAAGTGTCTTACAAACTTAAGTTCCTAATTCAAGTCAGATGATTACCTGGTTTTAAATTTTCTTACCATTTAAAAGCCTGCTACCAAAAGAGTCAAATGTCAGAATGTCAAAACACTTCTTTCGTGTTTGGCTGTGTCGTAGCACAGCAAATGCCCAAAGTAGCACTGTGACTGGTGAAGCACGTAGATGAGGCCAGGAAGAAGCCAGTCTGCTTTGCCTTTCTCTGGAGAAGAACTTGCAGGCGACCATGTTTAAATTTCATTACCTAAGATGTTAGAAGATCCAAGAAACTAGGAAAATTGGGTTTTATAGCAATATTTTCAGAATACAAAAATAAGGTTAGATTTAGAATCTAGTTTTTTCAAATTTATGCTCCTTTTTGTTTGCATAGTAAGGTACACCACCAGTAAGCATGTGATGACAGCCTCTAGCGAACCAGTAAAGAAACAAACTCCAGTTTTTGTTTCTGATATATAATTGTTTTTCAGACTCCTCATTTTGATACTTAGTTTATCTAGGGTTACAGTCCATTTTGCTAGGATTCTATCATGTTCTTAGAGTTTTGCATCCTGTTGGGTTAATGCTATTGTTTTACTGATTATGAAACGTTGGTTTCCTGAAACTGGTTAATTTTTGTCGTATAAATAAGACAGTGATTGTCTTAGCCTGCTCAAGCTGGTACAAATCCCTGAAACCATGGTAACAAGTGGGAATATCTAAGAGGCATATACTGCATTGGAGGTAGTATTGGATGTGTGTATAGAAGCTTTCAGTCTTAAATATATAGTGTTAGTGTGATGCTATATTGAAAAAATAGCAACTTTTTTTCATTTTATAAGTTGTATGCATAAACAAGAGTTGTAATTTTTCATTTATAGACTGCTTTTAACACATGCTTACCTATTAGTAGTGTTTCTCAAAGTATGATAGTATGATAGTATGTCTTCAGAATTTCATTATATACTTACAGTTAATAGTCTTAGCTTGTTGAAATGTTGAATTTCCTGTTGGTTTCTTTTTGATTATATGGATGCATACAGCAAGGCTGAAGGATGTTGTAATAGTTTTTTGCAGGGTGAAATTTTAGATTTTATGTGAGAACCTTATTAGTTTTTTTTTTTTTTTTTTTTTTTTTGCCTAGTACCAGGTTATGGGTTTTTCTTTCTTTCTTTTTTTAAGTGCTACTTTCAGTTAAATGTATTTGGCCCTACCAAATTTTTAGGAACCAGAAAACTTTATAAAGTTCTGCATTTTACTAGTGTAGCAAATTGAGTCCTAAGTTTGTAATTGTTCTGAAATATTAATCACTTAAACACTACTGTAAGTATAGCTGGAAAAATCTCCAAGATGAAAGCTCCGTGTTGCCTAAAAGAATTTGTATGCAAATGTTAATAAAAACACATAAGCAGGTTATATTTAAGGTGGCCCAAACCAAAAGCCACAGTTTATCATTTGATGCTTAGTCTTTGTAAGAGTGCTTTATGTTTGACTCACTCCACCTGACAGTAAATGAAGACATCACATTATTCTTTTATTTTCCTGGAAATTGCTTCTATAATTTTATTGAAAATCTTTGCCTAAACTAATGGCTTTAGCTTCTGGTCAGCACTGATTAAAATGTGAACAGTGATGTGTCTATCATAACTCTTGGTTTGCTTTATCTTCCCCTACACTATCATAGATTGCTGAGGTAAATACAATTGTTATCTAGTTGTATTCTACTTGTATCCACAATACTGTATTAATTAAAAATTTACTTTAAAAAAAGAAACACATTTAACTCATAAAGACATTCATAGACTGAAAGGCAAAGGATAGAAAACAATATTACATACCCCAGCACCTCAAAAATGCAGGGGTAGCAATCCTCTTCTCAGATAGTCTCAACTTTAAACAAAGAATGATCAAGTGAAATAAAGAAGACCAGTACATAATGGTTAGGGGAAAAATTCAAGAGGAAGATATAGCACTCATAAATATGTATGCACCAAAATGGGAGCACTCATCTATATAAAGGAAATATTAATGGGCCTGAAAAATCTAACATGCAACACCACAAAATTAACTGGAGACGTTAACACACCCTTATCCCCAAAAGATGGGTCAACCAGAAAAAAACTTAGCAAAAAAATGACAGAACTGAACCAGAATTTGAAACAAATGGACTTGGTGGACATATACAGAGTGTTCCACCCAAATACAGCTGAATACACATTTTTCTTCAGCTGCACATGGGTCATTTTCTAAAATACACCAAATACTGATGCATAGGTCAGGCTTATGTATATGTAAGAAAACAGAAATTATCCCATGTATATTATCAGACCACAGTGCCATGAAACTAGAAATAAATGACAAAAGAAAGCAGGAAAAAAAAAAGCCCTAAATACAAGGAAATTCAATGATATCCTACTTAGCAACCAAAGGGTCATAGACAAGATTAAAAAAGAAATTCATTTACAATTCAATGAACATTCAAGCACAACTTATCAGAATCTATGGGATACGATGAAAGCAGTTCTCAGAGGGAAATTCATAGCTGTGAACTCACACATTACGAAAACAGAATGGGAACAAATAAATAACCTAATGCTGGACATTCAACAACTAGAAAAGGAAGAGCAAAATAAATGCAGAGTCCAATGACGGGACAAAATCATAAAGATTAGAGCAGAAATTAATTCAATTGAGATGAAGAAAACACTTCAAAGAATTAATGAAACAAAAAGCTGGTTCTTTGAAAGATTAAATAAAATCGATAAGCCCTAGCTAACCACATCAAAAAGAGGAAAGAAAAAATTCAAATACAAGCAGTAAGGAATGAAAAGGGTGTAATTACCAGAGACTCAATGGAAATTCAGAAGATTATCAATAGCTACTTTGAGAATCTTTATTCTCACAGAATAGAAGACACAGAAGGAATGGACAGATTCCTTAAAGGTACAAATTACCTAAACTGAATCGACAAGATACAACCACGCTCAATAGCCCAATAACAACTGATAAAATACAAAATGTAATAAAAAAACCTACTGACAAAGAAAAGTCCAGATCTAGATGGATTCACAGCTGAATTCTACAAGACATTTACAGAAGATGTAGTCCTTATACTCCTCAAACTCTTCCATGAAATTGAAAAGGAAGCAATCCTCCCAAACCATTCCTGGAGGCAAGTATTACAGTGATACAAAAACCATGGAAAGATGCAACTAAGAAAAAGAGCAACAGGCCAGTCTCCCTCATGAACATACATACAAAAATCCTAAATAAAATCTTAGCAAATAGAATACAACAAATCATCAAGAAGATCATACACCATGACCAGGTAGAATTCTTCAGGGATGCAAGGGTGTTTCAATATTTGAAAATCTATAAAAGTAGTACACTGTATAAATAGAGCATAAAGGAGAAATGACATGATCCTCTCAATTGATTCAGAAAGGGCTTTTGACAAAGTCCAACACTAATTCATGTTCAAAGTCATACAGAAAATTGGAATAGATGGCTTCTACATCGATCTGGTAAAAACTATTTATGAAAAAACAACAGCTAGCATAATTCTGAATGGGGAAATCCTGAAATCTTTTAGTCTTAGATTGGGTACAAGACAAGGATGTCCTTTATCATCACTCCTATTCAATATGGTTCTCGAATCATTAACTAGAGCCATTAGACAA